TTTTTTTTTTTTTCTATTTGGTACTGGGAATCAAATCAAACCCAGGAGTTTCCTTTGCTAGGCAAGTGCTTTGCCAGTGAGCTACATCTCAGTCCCAAGTTCCTGCAATACAGAAGAAACAAGCACACACTTGCTTAACAGTCAGGAGCCTTTCTACACACCAGGGCTGACCACACTATAGAGACAGGCCACAAGCAAAACTGCCTCGTCATCAAAACACCCGTTATCATTCATCACACAGGCGAACTCTTGCTTTCTCAAACTGTTGAAACATAGGAGTTATCAGAAATGTTTAGTCAAAAAATACATACCAGTTGGGCACTGGTGGCTCATTGCCTGTAATTCGCGCTACTCAAGAGGCTGAGATCTGAGAATCGCGGTTGGGTTCAAAGCCAGCCCAGTTCAAAGAGCTCCAGCCCTGAGTTCAAGCCCCATAGCCGACAAAAACAAAACCCCCCCAATATATAGTAACCCCACAGGCATAATACTGGGGAGGGGTTAATAAAAAACCTCTAAGCCTAGCTTTTCAGGAGGCTGAGGATTGAAGCCAGTCTGGGCAGGAACACATTCATGAAACACTGCTTACCCAGCAAAAAGCTAGAAGTGGAGGGGTGGCAGGGCACACGCTTTGACGTGGGTGGTGGGGGACAGTGCAGGGCCCTGAGCTCAAGCCCCAGAGCCAGCACCTGCACACATAGGAGCCCAGTGGCGTCTCTGGAGGCCGTGGTGCTGGTGCTTGGTTGCAATGTCTCCTGCACCCTTCGAAGCAAGACTACAGTCCCCCCTGTCCTCCCCCCCTCCCCCGTGTCTTGCAGGCGGATGACGGTTGAAGCATGCTCCTCGCTGCCCGTCCCAAGGCCGTGTGTCGTGCAGGATGTCGGTGAGCGAGAGCGCGGTGTTCGCCTACGAGTCGTCGGTGCACAGCACCCACGTGCTGCTCGGCCTCAACGAGCAGCGGGAGAAGGACGTGCTGTGCGACCTCACGGTGCTGGTGCAGGGCCGGCGCTTCCGCGCGCACCGCGCCGTGCTGGCCGCCTGCAGCAGCTACTTCCACGCGCGGGTCGTGGGCCACGCCGAGGCCGAGCTGAGCATCACGCTGCCCGAGGAGGTGAGCGCCCCGCCGCCCGCCGCCCACCCCTGGCGCCCGTGGGGGCCCGTGGGGGTTCCAGGCCACTCGGGAGGGCGGAGGGCTCTGAGGATCGCGGTTCAAAGCCAGCTGGGACAGGAAAGGCCGTGAGCCCCTGATGGCCAAGAAACCACTCAGGCGCTGGCCTTGAGCTGAAGAGCTCGGGGACGGCGCCGAGGCCCCGGGTTCAAGCCCCAGGACCGACAGCTACACAGGCGCCCGAGTCTGGTTTATCTTCTCGGTCTGGGCACTCGGCCCGGCGCTGGCTCGTCACCTCCCGGAACCGTAGCTTTCGTCACTGGGCGGTGGACCTCGAATCCCATCCTGACAGCATCCGAGGAGGGAGGCAGGAGGAGCCGAGGGTGGCTGCACGGAAACCCAAGGTCTCCGCTGTTGTTACTGTTATTGTTGTTATTGCACCCAGGAGTGGCCGCCCCTCCCCCTCACAGGTCTGTCCTTGTCCTGTGCGTCCCCAGGTGACGGTCAAGGGCTTTGAACCCCTGATCCAGTTCGCCTACACCGCCAAGCTGGTCCTGAGCGGGGACAACGTGGAGGAGGTCTGCAGGTGCGTGGCTCTGCTCCGCGTGCACGACGTGGAGGAGTCCTGCTTCCAGTTCCTCAGGTTCAAGTTCATGGACTCGGCCGCCCCTGCCAACG